TTAAACTTTTAAAAGGCATGCACAACCCCCCTGCAATTTACCCCAAAATAAGAAAATTAAAATACAGTACAGTAAAAATGTTTAAACCTTTAAAAGGCATGCACAACCCCCCCTGCAATTTACCCCAAAATAAGAAAATACTGTAAAAATACCTGTAAGACTTGCAATAAAACCCACCACCCACACAAGAGAACAAATTTAAACTTACCTTCTGCTAGCCAAGTTCTCCAGAAGAAATCAAAGTTGCTCCTTACGAAGTCAGCCCTGGAACTCCACATGCAAAAGTAAAGCCAGGCTGCATGGGGAAGGGTTTTTAAACCTTCCCTGCACAAGGCACAATGCATCCTAGGTATTGACTGTTTAAATTTGAAAGAAAATAGCAACAGGGAAAAACACCCTGGAGGCAGTCGCATTGCGAAACGGCGACCGTTAAAAGCCATTCAAGTGAAGTACGACCCGCGGGCTGTCAAAATCATTGCAAAGCGCAGCGACCGTTAAAACGCCATTCAAGCGAAACACGACCCCCAGGCTGTCAAAATCATTGCAAAGCAAAACGGGGACCCAAAATCTAATCGCTATGCGAATCATGGTCCCGAAATCGCTAAGCGAAAATCGCCCATAGGGACCATCGCTAAACGGAGCGCAAAAACGCTCCGAAAAAGTCGTTGCTAAGCGATTTTGTCGTGAAACGAAGCGCTCGTTAAGCGAGGCACCACTGTATAAGTAACAGGGATATTAACACTGAAATGTCCTTAAAAGTGTTTGGGCAGCACTGATTTTTAAATGACAGGAATAAAAATGCATTTTCCAAACTGGTTTTCTTTTATTTTTAGGATGGCCCCTGAGGTTGCTGCAGTAGAAAGGAAGGGTGGATATAATCAACTTTGTGACCTTTGGGCTGTTGGGATAACTGCTATAGAACTGGCAGAACTCCAGCCCCCAATGTTTGACTTGCATCCAATGAGGTTTGTGATTATGTGTAAATAACATGTAATTCTATGTATGCTTGAGGAACACTTGAGAAGAAACTGTATGAGCCTACTTACCATAGGACTTCCAGTTTTTCTTAAGAAGAATGGATCTTCCTATTCATTGACTAGATGGCCTGCAAGACTAGTATTGTTGTTATCCATTGGATTTGGTGGAGGCAGGAAGAAGGAAGGACCTTCCTTCTTTTAATCTTGTGTTCTTTTGTTATGTCTCCAGGATTGTGCTGCAAACCATCAGAAATAAAAATGGGACTAACCCCTGTACTGAAATTATTTTCATTGTAAGGATTTATGATAGGATGATGTTTCTCTACACATTCTTGAAATATGTTTAATTTGACTGCAGCTTCTAAACCCACTTTCTGTGTTGATGCGTCCGCATTAGAAACATTCTCTATTGCACCACACTCCAGCCACTTGGTTCATTAGCCACAACAATTTACACGATTCTTCTTATGCGTACGTAAACATAGAACAAGATTTTCATTGATTTCCCAAATCATAAAGCTTGATTTAAATAAGCAGAGGCGATCTGCTGCGATATTGAAGGAGCCCCTTTATTTCTTAGGTACAGTGGACCCTTGACTTACAGACGGCTTGACTTACAGACTTTTTGAGTTACAGACTTCTCTGGCTGCAAAATTTAGGTTTGACTTGCAGCCTGAGAATTGACTTACAGACCAGAAAAAAACCAAAATGGAACAAAAATGGCCTGTTACAGGATTAATTGGTTTTCAATGCACTGTAGGTCAATGGAGACTTGACCTACAGACTTTTTGACTTGAGAACCGCCTTCCAATACGGATTAAGTTCTCAAGTCAAGACCCCACTGTAATTTGACTGCAACTTCTAAACCCACTTTCTGTGTTGATGCGTCCGCATTAGAAACATTCTCTATTGCAGACAATTGCAGTAGCCTTTTTTTTTTTTACCAATTGCACCGGGTCAGAAAATAAATGGCATACCAGGAAGTGCATAGCTTTTGGCAGAGTGACTGTATGCTCCTAAAAAGATACTAGGTGCTGTCCTGCACACGTTCTTTGGGATTCGCTGCATCCTACTGAGGCTGCTCAAAAATAGCTGGTTGCTTCTACCAGGCATTCTTGCTGCTACTTCTTCCCCGGACCTTTTCATGAAGCTCTGTTTCTGCTGCATATGTCCTGTTGTCAGAGGCCTGGGGCAGGGCTGCCAACAGAAGGTTGTTTGCAATACGTTGGAGGTTGTGTTTGTTACTGATGCAGAGCTGCAGCAGACCAAGGTGATCTTATTCATTGTGGAGATTGGAGTCTTGCAAGAGCTGCCAGGTAGTTTGTTAGTCCTTCCCTTTTTGCCTAAATGTGCTCCATTAAAGTTCTTTATTTTTTTTCTAACTTGAAAACTTCATCTGTGATGCTGTTCCTACTGCATATGAACTTACCCCCATTTTTTTTTCTTTCCAGAGCACTCTTTTTAATGACAAAAAGCAACTTCCAGCCTCCCAAGCTAAAGGACAAAATGAAATGGTAAATGCCTCGGTGCGGTAGCTAAATTGTATTGATTGTAGTGTTCGCTGAATAAGCTTTATGCCATCTACCGTTTCATTTTAAAGGTCAAATAGCTTCCATCATTTTGTGAAAATGGCACTTACCAAGAATCCTAAGAAAAGGCCTACAGCTGAAAAACTGTTACAGGTATGAGGTCTTAAATCCTTTTCCAAATTGTTCTAAAATGTAATTAATTTCAATGTTGTGATATGAGGAAGGCTTCCCATAAGGAGTTGTTAGGGAAGAATAATTCCTAACTCAGCTGTATGTGTCCAGGTGTGTTTCATAGCCACACTGTTGAGGCTGCTGCTTCTCCTTTTGTACATCAAGTGACTTGAAGGCCAGTTAATGGTGTCCTCCCTGTGGAAGGCCAGTTACTTATTGTGGGGGACAGCTCTCAGATCACTCCTGTCAGTCAGGTCAGAGCTCTGGTGAGGGAGCCTATGACATGACAGGAGGGGCGGAACCAAGAGAATAAAAGGAGACAAAAAGACAGTTAATGACAGTTTAAGGCAGTTAGGGCCGTGGATGTGTTAGAGCGAAGATAGTCATAGATATACAGAGGAATTGAAAGAGTTATTAATAGGACTAGATCTTAGGAAGTTGGTTGGGTTAAGAATTGAATGAATTAATAGTGAAGAAAAATATAAGAAACTGGTTGAATATGTTAACACTGGGATTAAAGCAAATCTAAACAAGCAAACATCTCAAGTCAAAAGACCATTAATGAATGAATAAAATAAGACCATCCTTGATTTACATATGTGATTGAACTATTATCTTATGAATAAATATTGTTACACTTTACAACAGAGAGTTATTATTCCTATTGGATACATAAACTGGTGGCAGCATATAAAAGGTGAAAATTGTAAGTAGCACCCGAAGGCAAATCTGGGAGTTAAGGAGAACAAACAGAGGAGAATTGCTACACTTATTTGATGCTTGTTCCTGAAGGCAAATCTGGGAGTTAAGGAAAACAAACAGAGGAGAGTTGCTACACTTATTTGATGCTTGTTCCTTGATGTTGCTGGTCCCCAGTTTTTGGACTAGACTTCCTTGCTAATCATATAGAGTTGTGGGGGTTTTGTGTATGTGTGTGTGTGTGTGCGCGTGCGCGTACGCGTGCATGAGTGGTGAGGATTTTTTTCTCTTTTAGTAAGCTGGGAGTTAAGGAAAACAAACAGAGGAGAGTTGCTACACTTATTTGATGCTTGTTCCTTGATGTTGCTGGTCCCCAGTTTTTGGACTAGACTTCCTTGCTAATCATATAGAGTTGTGGGGGTTTTGTGTATGTGTGTGTGTGTGTGCGCGTGCGCGTACGCGTGCATGAGTGGTGAGGATTTTTTTCTCTTTTAGTAAGGAAACTTATATTTGAGAAGGCTTTCTTTTTAACATTAAAAAACATGATCTCCTCTTGTGTCTTTTTTTTTAGCACCCTTTTGTTACTCAGCCTTTAAACCGGGCCCTTGCAATTGAGCTGCTGGATAAAGTGAATAATCCTGACCATTCCACCTACCACGATTTTGATGATGATGATCCTGAGGTAAGAGTACTACTTGCATCTGTGCTTTGGCAGTTAGAGCAGGTGATATCTGAAACACTTTTGTCATGTCAGATAATTCTGAGATTTGCACTGCACAAATGGCATTAAAGTCAGTTACAGAGATTTGTATTTTATTTATGGTGCTCATCCCCAAGGGTTGAAGTCACATTACAATAAACTCTTAAGAGTAGGCTGGTATTCTTGGACCTTGTTGATAATTTTAGTTAATGTGGTTGAAAAAAAAAAGTTACCTGAACTGTTTATTAGAATTTACTGAATTTAAGAATAATAGCTGTAAGAAAGAGGGCAAAACTAACAGCAGCTCTGCTTCCCCCCTTCATCCAAATTGTCTTAGTCACATCTAAATATTTAGGGTACCTCACAGCCTGATGTAGCATCTCAGAGTGTCTCTCCAGTATACCCATAACAGAGTGTCAAAACTGACATGGAACACAAAGTTGTCAAACATATATAGAACATTACCATCTCCCTCTCTGTCTCCATCTGTTTATACAGTTAATATCTGCCTTGCCCATTAGCAGCAGCAGCACAATACCATAACAAATGGCTTTTTTGACAAAATATAGTGTTTCTAAAAGCCAGAGATGCGACTCTCAGTTGATGACTTTCTTAAGATGACTTGTTTGCTATTTAATAGTAAGTAAATCCCTCTGACTCATAAATAGCAACTTGAAAACACACCAGCCTGCCAGACTCTTTTGTCCCAATGAATGACAAACCATTATGTGAAGTAGGAAACACTTCATACTAAGATACACGATTTTTGGAGTGTGTGGGGAATACTTGCCAGATTTACAGATGATACAAAATTGGGTAGAATAGCTAATACCTTGGGAGACAGGAACAAAATTCAAAAATATCTTGATGGGCTTGAGCACTGGATTGAAAACAACAGAATGAAATTTAATAGGAATAGATGCAAAGTTCTACATCAAGGGAAAAAAATCAAATGCATAGCTAAAAGATGGGGGACACTTGGCTCACTAATACTACAGATGGAATTGTTGTAGATCACAAGCTGAATATAAGCCAACAGTGTGATATGGCTACAAAAAAAGAGACAAATGATATTTTAGGATGCATTAATAGAAGTATATTTTCCAAATCCCACGAGGTGCTAGTCCCCCTCTGTTCAGCACTAGTTAGGCTTCATTTGGTGTGCTGTGACCAGTTCTGGACATTGCACTTTAAGACAAATTCAGACAAACTAGAATGAATTCAGAGGAGAGCAACAAGGATGATCAGGGGGGTGAAAGTCAAGCCCTATGAGGAATGACCAAAAGAACTGGACATACTTAGCCTTAAGAAAAAACAACTGAGGGGAGATACGACAGCACTTCAAATACTCTGTGGGGAGATACGACAGCACTTTTCAAATACTCTGTAGGTAGTCATACTTTGGAAGGGCAGGATCTGTTCTCGAACATCCCAAAATGTAGGACATGTAATAATGGGCTCAAGTAACAGGAAGCCAGATATCAGCTGAATATAAGGCAGAACTTCTCAACTATTAGAGCATTACGGCAATTGAACCAGTTAACCTGGGAGATGACAGGAAGCCAGATTTCAGCTGAATATAAGGCAGATCTTCTCAACTATTAGAGCATAACGGCAATTGAACCAGTTAACTTGGAAGTGATGAGTGCTCCAACACTGGAAACATTCAAGAAAATATCGGACACGTGCTCCAACACTGGAAGCATTCAAGAAAATATTGGACACTCATTTGTCAGATCTGCTTTGATTTGGATTCCTCATCGAGCAGGGAATTGGACTCAATGGCCTTATTGGCTACTTCCAACTCAATTATTCACTGATTCTGTGATTAATCTGGAGTGTCTGTCTCTCTCTTGAAATAAGTTGTGTCCTGAGCTGAAGCCTCAATCGTGGGACGTTTTTCCACTGGTGTTTTGTGGCTATTTTGTTGTTCCTCCATCTCATTTCATAGCAGAGATTATAGCCATGATGAATTTTTGCATGCAAGTTTGTATGTTAGCTTTTCCTCATATTTTAAAATATCGGATGCAATCCTATTGCTGTAACTTATGCCACATAAGGCTATAGATGTCATCAGCTACAGCAAATTTTCAGAAATAAAATATCTGATTTCTGCCCCAAATCAGAAATGGCTCCCATGAAATCCTTTCCTTGTTTGGAAGCCATTGGGGCTGTGGGACAGGAGGGGAGAAGTCTTTACCAGATGTCACGACCACAGAGATGACTTTGACAGCAACAGCAAATTTTCATAACTGAAGACTTCCCCATCCTAATCTATACTCCTGATGGCTTCCAGACAGTGAAGGGGATGTCATAGGAGCCTCAGGACCTTCAGGGTAGAAATTGTAGTGTTTTATTTCTAAAAACTTGCCATGGCTTGATGATATCATCATCCTTATGTAGTGTAACTTACACAACAGGATTTCAGCTGTTAAATAGTAAAGGTATTGTCAGATTCTTATGTAAAGGTATTGTCAGATTCTTTGTAACAGTTATATACAGCATCTTTATTCATTTGTTAAATCACACTTTTTGTGTAATGTTTTTCTTAGCCTCTTCTTGTGCCTCATAGAATTCACTCAACAAGCAGGAATGTCAGAGAAGAAAAAACACGCTCTGAAATAAACTGTGAGTATATACAATGGAGCATATGTCTCCCATAAACACACCTCATGGCAGTACTTATTTTAAATCAATGTCACCCTTCCCAGACTATTCATTCTGAATGTAATTATAAACAGTAGTAATAGGGAACTGTAGAAGAAAAGCAGAAATTGAAGTAAATGAAACCTCGGTGGGCAAGAGAAAAATGGAATGAAGAATGTGTGTTAGCAACTCAGCTGGTTTTTGATCACTTTTACAACCATACTGTGTTTGTCTGGTCAGGTTTTTAGCCTGGACTGGCACTTTTCTTCTCTGTGAGTATACAGTATGTGTTGCTGGAAAGGAAAAGGGAGGGGGATTCTACTATTCTTACACAGCATGCCAGACACAGCGGGGTAGTTTGGATGCTTTTCTCTCTTAGCAGAAGTAAATAGATTTGTTATGCTTTATCTAGGGCTAGTTGCCTGCTGCACTAGCTAAGGTAAGGCAGTGGTCAGTACCACCTCATGAACTGAGCTGAATGAAACTTTCATGAGTAGTTTCAGACAGGATAATGCCAGACACAGCGGGGTAGTTTGGATGCGTTTGAATGAAACGTTCATGAGTAGTTTCAGACAGGATCTTTGGACTTCCTAGGGTGTAGCATTTGAGGGTTATTTCAACAACTCCCTTCACTTGTGTAGCTGCACCTTTGTACAGTATAGTTTCCCAGAGTGCAATTTCATGTTTCTTCCAATAACGGAACACATTAGGGTTATTTCAACAACTCCCTTCACTTGTGTAGCTGCACCCTTGTACAGTATAGTTTCCCAGAATGCAATTTCATGTTTCTTCCAATAACAGAACACATTTTTAAATATACAATGGTGCCTCGACTTATGACCATAATCCGTTCCAGAAGGTGGATGTAACTCGAAATGGTCATAAGTCGAAGCACCCTTTCCCATTGAAACTCATTGGAACGCGATTAATCCGCTCCGGCAAAAAAATAACACAAACAAACAAAAAGCACACAGCAAGTCTGGTTGGAAGGCGCTGGGGGGTCATAAGTCGAAGCACCCTTTCCCATTGAAACTCATTGGAACACGATTAATCCACTCCGGCAAAAAAATAACACAAACAAAAAAAAAGCACACAGCAAGCCTGGTCGGAAGGCGTTGGGGCTTAAAAAAATAATAAAAATAAGCAGGAAAGCAAGCTCCGTTGCTGGGGCTTTAAAAAAACAAACAAACCAAAAATAAAGTGCACAGCAAGCTCCGTCGCTGGGGCTTAAAAAAAAAAACCACAACCAAAAATAAATAGCGAAGCAAGCTCTGTCACTGGGGCTTTAAAAAAAACACACCAAAAAACAGCAAAGCAGCCCCGAAGGCGCTGGGGTAGCAAAACACACACACACACACACACACACACACACACACACACAAACAACAACAACAACACAGCACAGAAACATACCTCTCCAGGCCAAAACCATGCTTCAAAACCCACTCAGAACAGTTTTTAAAAACCAAAAAACAGCACCTTACCTTACCAGGCAGCCTACTCCTCTTGCACACTCTCTAACTGCTGGGCCGAAAGAACTACAAAGAAGCAGCCTCCTCGCCTACTACAGTTAAAAATTTGAATTTCCTGCCTTTTTCCCCTGCCTTTTTGTGTTTGTAACTGGAAGCTCCAGCTGCAAGTCGAAGCAAAATTTTGTAGCCGGAGCTGGTCGTAACTCAAAATGGTCGTAAGTAGGGACGGTTGTAAGTCGAGGCACCACTGTATCTGATTCTTTTCTTGCTTTTTAAGAAACCGATTTGACTTAACACCACAATATCAGCTTGCCTTTTATTTGGTTTTGCCTTCTATAAGACAATAAACAAACATTTCTTTCCTAGTGATCCATGAGCATTATTTTTGATTCCTGAAGTTAAAGGCTGTTTCATGTCATCTTGACCTGAGCATTTTTCCAGATTTTTTCTGAGTGCATGCTAGGGAATGCCATTTTGTGTTTCTACACCAGTTATTCAAAATCTTAGGTTTTTAACCTGCTGTGGCAGAAACATTGGGGAAATAGGAATGAACTGGTCTATGTACTCCATAATCTGAGAAGGAAAATAGATACCGAAAGAGACTGAAACAATTGATATTTATATTTTGAAGTTTGATTTCCATGGTTTTAATATTTCATTCTAGTTAAAAGTTAAAGCAGAGGTTCTTTAATTCCAACCATCATAGCTTTGTTGCTTAGAGCTGTTCTACTATCTTCTATGATTGTTTACTCATTTCTTCCTTGAATTTCCCAGTCAACCAGAAAGTAAATGGTCACATCTGTGGTCTTTTAGTTTATTACTGTAAATTAATAGTTCTGATTTACATATTTGGATCATTTCTCTTCCTCTTTGTTTGTTTTCTTCAATAGTTGGCCAAGTAAAATTTGATCCACCTTTAAGGAAGGAGACAGAGCCTCATCATGAGTTTGTAAGTAACGTGTACTGTATGTGTTTTGTTATGTCCAAGCGATGTTTGTGTTGAAACAGGTGGATAAATGTATGAACTTGTGTTTCATCCTGCATAAGGTACATTGGACTGTACTATACAGTATGCAAGATCAGTACCAATTTTTTTAGGGTCACACAATACATAAACATTTTAATGGATTTCCATGGTTTAAAACAACTTGATCAGATCTGTCTGACTTTTAAAAAGTGTGCTGCTTATATACCACTCTGTAGTGCTTAAAGCACTCTTTAAGTTTACGATTTTTTAAAATGGTGACAGATTGTTTTAAGCCATTTCAAACTCTGTAATGCTTAAAGCACTCTCTAAGTTTACGATTTTTTAAAATGGCGACATTGTTTTAAGCCATTTCAGTGTGTGTCTCATAAGTAGATGCAGCTGGAATTCTATGTTGGCCAGACTTCTAAACAGTTGTTTAACTGCTTTATAGCTAGCAGTTGGTTTGCTCATGACACAGGGTGACTGTGCAGACTGCCCACTTTGCAACAAGATAGGAGATCTTCCTGTGAGTCTTTATATCTTTTTAGCTTGAAACACAGCGGGACACCAGCTGCACAGGCAGAACTCAAAGAAATTCTGGTGCATGTGTGTGCATTTTTATGATATAATTGCTGCTTTCTGATGTATCAGTGGAATACATTTTGAATTAACTTGTTTTCCTCCTTGTAGATGATTTCCCTGTGTTGTCCATCATAACACACACTTCCCTATATCTGCTGGGGAAAATACAACTTCAGTGTATAGGTATCACAGCATGATACATCAAGGGCAGCTAAGTCCTTGGCATGGAAAGATGGGTAATAGGAGCAGGAGAAAAAGTTGTTTGTAAAATGAACTCAAAGGAGGCAAGGAAAGGATTGAAGACTCATATATAGCAAGCTAGGATAAAGCAGGGCTCGAGGATTTCAGAATAAATGGAAGGTTTCAGAATAAATTTCCTGGGGCAGAAACATGAGTCTATTAGGTAATGTTTCAGTTTTTCTGAAGATTAATATAGTTCTGAGTCACAGGCTGTGATAGTGTGAAAGAGGGGAATTGTTTTATCGTTTCAGATCATATGACCACTCTGAGCCTGTGAAAGCCTTCTTCCAGGCACCTTAAAGCTATGCTCTACTTCCAAAAGATGAGAGTGTCCCAGTCATTCTCCCTAGCTACGCACAGATTTCTGGATATAAATTGTGGCTATAATTGCCATTTCTGTGTTGGTACCATAGTCCACTGACATAATGGGCCATTGATCTGCAAGTAAGTGAGGTCCTGTAGCTTTCATCTTAGTGCTTATATTTCACCACCCAAAAGAGCAAAAATGGATCCTCTGTAGGTGTGGAGAGTGGTGAAGACAACAGTGTACATCATGCTGTGCTTGCCAGGACTGGGTCATAAAATCTCCAGCTGATGATATCCAGCAACAGGGTCCAGGATACAAATATTTTTGTCTGCAGCTTTAAATGTTTTGAGATTTTGGATTTTTCGAAACATTTCTGGGAGGAATTGATTGTAATGCCTGTTGCCAGGTTCTTCAAACCCTGCCTATGAGATGAAGCTAAAGGTTTGCTCAGCACAGGAGGCCAGGAAGCAGCTTGGGTGAAGAGGGTTGGTGGACAGATGGGACTTGATGTACAACAGCTGCATCCTCTGTCACTGTCTTGTAACTTTTAACTTTGTGTAACTTCATTCATACTCACCACTGCAATCTGAAGGATTACATGTAACTCCTCCCCATGTTATAGGGCCTTCTGTGATGTATAAATTCAGGGGGGAAACAGCCCTGTCCCACTCCAAAGGCACATTTCCATTTTTTTCAGTGGGAAAATTAGAAAATTTGCAGAGATAAGAAAAACACCATAATGAACCATTTCTCTTTGGGAATGGATGACATTTTTTAAAGACAGGCTTCTGATTAATTGAAATGCTAGAAACTGCATAGCATGAAGGTTTGCATGTCTGCAAAATTTGAAAGTACTTCATTGTACATATTTATAACACTCAGATCTGTACCTAGTCATTCCACCACCTTCCTGACAGGAGCATAGAGGACAGACTTAATGGATTTCAAAGTGGAGAGGAGCAGGAGGCCTCTCTCTTTGGTGTAGGATGTATTCACAGTTTTGCTCTTAAAAAATAGATTTTTAAATTTCACAAGTATACCAAGTAGTACAATTTTATATGTACCCAGAGACCTCTGGGTAGTTTGGGCGGCATATAAATTAAATAAATAAATAAATAAATA